TAGCCGCTTGATCTGCCATTTCTTCAGGTGTTAATGTGCGTGATTGAATGTAAGTTTATTTACTTCTTCCCGATTATAAGTCGACGATGTTTATTTCGTTGTTGTGTTTAAATATTCATCTTGTGTAATCGAACCTTATATTGTTTATAATGTTGTTATATTATAAGTACATATTAAAAGATGTACGGTGATTCAAATGCGTATGCTCGCTACTGTTAATCCTTTCCTGGTTATGTTGATTCATGTATAACGTGTCAGTAGCAAGTTGTTATTTACATGTCTGTAATTTACATTTAGCAGATGCAAACTGATGCTTGTTTTATTCTGTTTATTTCAGCAAGACCACATTTAACACTCCGTGGCCTTAAGTTGTACAATATCCAATCTACTTGGAGCAATGTTGTGCCATCTACTGTGAACAGTTAAATACTTCAGATAAAGAGTTGAACAGTGCCCTGTCTCCTGTCGCACTTCTTACCCGAGTCCCGTGGTGGATTAGCATCAACACCCCTACCGATCTATTAGTCCCGTTCATTTTGAGTGTGTATTTCAGTAAAGTTTTCATCACTTGAAGACAGAAATAATGTTTTCTGAAAAAAGCATTTTCCTTCTTTAGTTTTCAGAAAGATTTAAGAAATGCATCGGTATTTTGCTATGACCTACAATATGTTCTACTGCTATTTCAGTGAACTTTGTAAACACATGTAAAAACAAATCTTAATTTCTAATCTAAACAAGGCCTCTGTGGGGGTGATTAATCGCTAGGCTAATTGCTGATTGGTTACTAATGAGAAGACAGTGCTGGTGTTACAGTGTGTGTAATTGTGACCTCGGGGACGCTGATATCCTCCTGCTCTGTCTAGAGTTAATGTGATGTGTCTGAGAAATCGAATGCTGTCTTATTTGTCAAGCTCCATCTGTCTAGAATGCCAGTGTGCCACGGGGTGAGAAGATTTCTGAATAGATGTTCTTGTCCACAAACATATATAAGTGTACTTGAAGTTTAGATGGACAATACACAAACATATCTGTGACGAGTAGGGCGGGGCCGAGAGCCGTGGGAGCGGAGCGAGGCCGGTGGAGTGAATGATAATGAGCGACACCTGCGCCACTCATCGGTCTCGAGTCCCACGAAGGAGCTCCGTAAGGATAAAAGGAGAAGTAACGACAGTAAAGGACGAGAGAGGACCAGGCCTGGATTTTATGTTGTTTTGTTTCTGTTTGTGCGCGGCAGTCATCTGTGAGGGGCTGTCGTGCTATTTTCAGTTTTGTGTTTATTTTATTATTAAAGTTTTGTGTTAAAATGTTTGCCGGTTCCCACCTTCTTCCCAATCTATGAACTTTGTTACAATATCATTTATTGTACCTATAAAGCATTTCCGCATTGCCACTAAAATAGATGCTTTAGTAAAATGTGGGCCATAAATGTTTATGCATGAAAGCTTGACCATATGAAACATCTGTGTGCCATTTTGTCGTCTGAGTTTTGAATGAATGTGTGTGCATGAGAGAAAGAGAGTGCACATGTGAAAAACCCTGTCATTCGGACACAGGATAGCAGATGGTCTTGTTTCTTAATCATGGTCATGGTGCTTAAGCTCTAAATCCTCAGTGGAACAATGCAACCAGGCTTTAGCTTTAGGCTTTGCCTGACCACCTCAAAGACTGGCCTTTAGTTACTGACACATTCCCTGGCCTTGTCCCAATTCCCTGAGTGGTCACCCCGACCTAGTCTTCTTCAGCCGTTATTGGGGATTTTCAGCCATAAGTATCAATGCTTTATTGCTAAGTAGAGTGATTCCAAAGCCGATTATGGAAATGATCAGTGAAAAACATTCATAAAGGTTTAACTACCTTGCAATTACTGTGTGCTTTCAACGTCTGGAAGATTCCTTAGTGTCTTGTCTGCCAAATTAAATGCTCATGATGAAATTTCTAATACATGACCTTGGATAATTGAATAATAGGCTCATAATCATGTGGATCATTCAGTTGTTCATTCATTTCGTCATCAGCATTTAAAACTGTCCAGACCGTTTCATCTGTATTCAGCGGTATATTTTATATATGTAGACATTCAAATCCATCTAATAATCTGACATTGCATGGTGTATAGTTTAAGATGACTGTTGTTGTTAGATGTTTTATATACTTGTACATTAGCCTAATTGGACATTCACAAGTTACAGAATTCACACTTTAATTTACTTTTGTTCATTTGTGCAACTTTAGAGGTCCCTAAAGTTGTCAGGAAATTCAATTCAATTTAATTTTTTTGTAATTACAATGGATAGCTGCTCACGTGCATTTGGTGTTGCCGTAAAGCGATTTCGTACCCGCTCACTAAACTCCAAGAACATTCTACAAGAACAGACATTTATGGGCAAGCATGGGAAAGAAACAGAAGCCTTATTCGTCATTCGTCAGTGTATTATCAGAACATGATTTTGAAACTGGCATTTCAAGGTAAAAACTTACACCCAGTTGCTGTAATAGTAGGTAATGTACTGGCCAACAACCACCACAATACAAATAAGAGATTTAGTATATAGTAATGTGTGAAAACAACAATAAATTTGTCATAAAAAATAACTTGAGATAAGATGAGGTAAACTAAACACTGCAGTACTTGGGGTTAAATAATTTAAGCAATTATGAGAATCTGTGTAATTAAACTATGTCAGCTTGACAGCTGGAATCAACAGAGTATGGAAACTGACATCCTCTTCATATCATGTGTTGCATTGTTGTCTTTTTGACCACTGTGTGTGTATAAGTAGGCTACAGTATATTCAACAAAGTGTCCGTTTCTGCCAAGTTGATTTATAAAAGCTCTTGAAAAAACTGTGACAAGACCAGCACTGCTCATCACATGACTCTATACATTGTGAATCAGGGCTAGCTGTCACATGGGGAAGTGTGTCACAAGGACAGTCTCAGCAAAGGTTTTGAGTCGAAAGTCAAAACTAGTTTTTTTCTAGTGTTGGTTTTAAATGTCCGTTTCAAATCAATATATTTTTACTATTGATTTATTTTCTTTCTTTTTTAAATATCTTTTTTTTCTAGTTCTGATTAGTTTTCTAGGTAACAAGTGAGCACAACAACACACACACTGACATATAGCCTATTTAGTTAAAGTCAATTGTATTTTAACCAAAAATCTGAACCGTCTTCTCAAGACAAGTACTTCAGGATGGGGAGTTGTCACAATATAATATATAATATATTTTTTGTTGACTCAAATTTTTGGTTTTATACATTTAGTTTTTTATAATTGTTATAATTTTTTACATCAAATGTGTGTTAAATGAACTATCTCTTTTCCTGAGCAATAATGGGGGAAATGTTCAAGAAAGATTTTTTTTTTTTGCAGCCAATACTTAAATGTATCCACCTATAATATAACCGACTTTCAGAAACCACCCACCCTAAAAAAAAAATCCCCCAATTTCCAGCCTAAATGACTCATGCAGGAATGGACAAATGCTCTATTTGAACCAATGCCTGGAGACGAGCATAAAATAGATGCAGTAAATTGAGCATTCATCCTTTCATCCAGTGACTTGATCACACGCATCCCACGTCTCAGTGTATATAAGCGCTCTTGTATTGGAGATCCTCCTCTGCTTTGACAGGCACAGTGAACGCTCAGCATCTAGAAACGAAAGCGCGAGCCTGGTACGCGTGAAAACCGCCTGCATCTTGCCAAAACGACACCGAAACCGAATCCCAGCATCTTTTTTAATGTGGTTGGAGAGCTCATTTCTGCACGGACTCCGTGTACCAGTTCAGACTGTCTGAGAGCAGCGGTGTTGAAGGACAGAAGCGGAGAGGGTTTCTATAGCGGGACAGAAGATGCTGCTGCTGCTTCTTCATTGACGGCTCTGGTCCACCTCATGAGTTATACACACAAAAACACAACGGCACAACACTCGTGTTCTTGATCACGAGTTTAAAACGGGTTCCTTTTGTGCCTCTTTTGTCTCCCACGTGCAAGAAAGTGGATCCGTATTTGAGGTGAGAATGTGATTCTCAGATGCTTGTTTCTGCTTTTGTTCTATCGTTTACATTGTTGACTTTATTTTTGATATTAGAGTGTTCTGTTTTGATACGTGAGTGTGTGTTTACATCTCCGGATATTCTCAGTTGGGATGCTGAGGGGCTGTTCATCAGGATTATTCAGGGATGTCTGATTAAGTTGCTCTACTAGATTTGATACCAACGCGGATAACAGCGGGTTTTATTTACAACAAACACCATATATTAAGAAAAAGTACCATGAACGAGATTTTTCTGCAATTCGTTCTCCGTTTGTACAGCAGCATTAGTCTTTGTAAGCAAGTGTTATGAATCAAAAGTGTTAATTCAATGGAAAAGCAGTTGACCGCCGTTGTAAATAGAACGAATTTAAATGAATTTATCTGTAAATTCAATGTTTTCTCCTATCAAACGGAAACGTAGTTGTTGGTTTTGCCAGCCGCAAGTAAAGGGGTTTTCGAAAGTCGGAGCTTCGGTGTTTTGGCGTTTTACGATCACTCGGAACGGGTTTCCTACGCGGGACATGGAAAACACGGGGTGGAGCTGGAACCGGATGGTTACAGAGAAGGGAGAGAAAATCTCTGTAGATTGAAATAGAGACTGGCTTTAAGTTTGTGTGGGGTTTGTTGACACAAAAGGGCCAAATTCTTAATGTGCATTCTTATGCAATCTTGTGTTTTCATACTACGCCATCGAAGTTCAATTCCAATATTCAAGAACACAAGTTCAAGTTCAGAGGATGCGTGAAAGTAGACTACCCTAATGTGTTCTTGATATTAAGGATGCAATGAATGCAGACTTGAGAGAATCAAACCATTAGAAATCCCAGAACTCAGTGCGGGCAGATGACGCACGGAAGCCTAAGCTTTAAACTTGTAGCTTTAAACTTCTCACTCCAAGTTCGTAAATAAGTGGGGGCTTGTAAAAGTAAACATTTGCCATTTTGTTTGGTGTAATTTTAATAAAGTGATAAAGACCTGGAGAAATCCTGCAGTTTTTATTGGCATTTTAAGAAGACTCTTAACATTTACAAAGCATAAGTAATATTACTGTACATGTACACAGGCCTACTCATTTACGTGAGTACATGCCGTAAAATAAAAAGATCACATGGTCAGTCTGACAAAGATATGTTCTGTGTCCTTGTGTCCTTCCGAATTCTTTCGAGGTAGCCTTCCAAGACCGATCTCCAGAAGAATACAAGTTTGTTTTATGCAAAACAGCCAAGATGCACACCAAATCACTGGCCAATGTATCTCTGAAATGTATGTTAATCAGTAGATATATTATTATTTACCACTTACTTAATATCAGTTTTTAATTATTGAACTGTTGCATAAAAACAATGAAACCTGCATGTGTTTTACTGAATATCAGCATGACAGATGATCTTGTTCATGTCAAACTCTTATGAAAAGTGATACAAATTAGCTATTTTAAAACATTTCAACACCTTCAGTGTGATTATGCTTTATTATGATGACTTTATTACCAAGTAAAGTGAAAGGACACACTGTAGCTGAATGGAAGTTTGCTTAAGTAAATGGATTTGAATCATTTACTTAAAACAACCATTAAAACATTACATGCTTGAATAGGTAAATTACTGTTATGGGGGTAATTACACTTTTCATACAAATTTGTCTAATTCTAGTGTATTTATTGCCTTAGGAATTAATCTGATGCACCAGAAATATTTATCTGTCAGATTTAGTTTTAATCTGTTGAATGCGCTCAGTATTCAGTTGTACTGGCTTTCAGTTTGACTTACTGATCCATGCAAAATGTTTGTTTAAAGTGCAGTTATTGCAAGAAAATAACGATGATGATGATAGTAGAAAGAAGTAAGCATTTGTTAAACCCTGCTTTGCTTGTTTGAAGTCTTCATTGCTCGGCCAGCAACAGCAGACTGAAGTGCTGTTAGCTGGCAAGGCAGTGAGCCCTGGGAAATACCACCATCCATCTCCACATAACGACATTATATTTCTATCTTTGCTTTCTCTGTAGTAAATTGGTGTGTGTGTGTTTTAAATATGACCACATTAGACTGTTTGTGTTTTGAATAATTTTAGTTTCCCCCTTCCATCCTGTCACATTTATTTCACACATTATGTGCACCATGTATTGTTGTTAATATATATCACATTCCGACACAAGAAGATCTGTATTCCTGACATATAAAATATTTATATATCTTGTGCCTAAACATAATAAAAAAGCCGTCCGGTTCAGCAGTATTAAGGTAATTTCTCAAATAGAATAGTAGAAATGGCAAACAAGTCTGATACATTCTTATCATGGCATGTTTATGGTGTTCCACAAGGAGCTGTTATGGGTTCAATTTTGTTCTCATTGTAGTTTTTTAACCAGCTAAAATAATTTACTAAAATTAAGTTCCTTCAGTAGTTAATCTAGATGAAATAATCACATTTCCTTGTAATTATTATCACTGTTCACATTAGAGCCAAGATACTCCTTATTAATAATAATATTATTTTCTAGGCCCTAATCATCGCAACCTTAGTAACTTTAGTTTTCAATACATTTTTGTTTTTAGAATTGGAAGATCTCTAAATTGATTTATGTGAGGCTAATTCATACAAAAAATATTTTTGTCTCTTAATGTGCACATTGCTCCAGTGTTGCTTTCGTCAACGAAAATTATGACTAAATATAGTCGTCAACGAACCTTTATCACGTGATGAAAACGAGACGTCATGTGACGATGACGATAATTAAATGTACAATGCAATATCGTTGACGAATAAAAACGAGACGAAATGTGGCTTACAAAATAAAAACTATGCTAAAATGTCTCTTCATTTTCGTTGACCAAAACGAGACGAAACGAAATGTTCTAATGTTATTTCGTCTCATTATTATTATTTTGCCGTATTTCTGTTTCCTGTGTCTCCTTCAGGGGCTGCATCAGGTCACACTGCGCAGACGCAGGCGACGTCACTTCCTCAAGCCCCACTCGTGGAATTATTTAGAGCAGTGTTTCCCAACCGGGGTGCCGCGTCTGTCGAGAGCAGGGGTGCTGTGTAAAAAAATATTTTTTTTATATTTTTAAATTGCTAAAATGTTCAAAAAAGCAGCTATTATATAATATCCATTTCTAATGCCGCCAATAATTAGAGGTGCACAGAAATTCCGGCTGCCGAAAATGAGTTCACTGCTCAGGGTTCACTTGTGTGTGTGTGTGTGTGTGTTATCCCGCTCTATGTGTGTGTGTATTATCCATAGACTGTATGG